GCTGAGAGGCATGCGCCCCCACGTGAGCACGTGCAGAGCAGAGAACCCCTCGGTCCAACCGAACATAACAGGCTGGAACTCAGAAGCGGCGACAAAGCGCAATGGAACTGCATCATCTGCATCTCACGGCCTAATGATGGAGCTCTCATCGCAGACTTTATTAGTCCTTGTTGCGTTGCGAGTCTTGCTCTTGTCCTCGCTCTTGTCCTCCAACTCGCAGCATGAATCTAGAGCCTTACAATGCAGTTTTGTTACTCGTGAGCAAGGGGGGCTTGCAGGAGTGTGGATGCCAGCGAGTTTGAGCAGACAGTGGGTGGTCACAACTCACACGTGAACTTTGCTGTTTTGGTCGTGGTCTCCTTGGGCTGCTCAGAAGCCATCAGAGCCGGCTCTGTTTTGCAGCTCCAAAGCACCGCGACCAAGGCTACCTCTCCATGTTGCATTGCTCATCGAGACTGATGGAGGCAAGCTCTAGCTGGGCTAGGACCAGGAGCTAGGCATGGCTACGCTGAGTTCAGCCACCCCGCAGCAATTCCGTGAAGTGCTGTTGGGACGCGCTAGGGCCGCCAGGGGCAGTGAGTGGAGCCCAAGAAGTTGAACATGTTCGTCATGTTGTCACCTGCGTAGTCCCGGACGCTGCATGTTCCCATTGGTCCAAGGGTCTTGCCAACAGTGAATCAGCGCATCGGCGAGAGGTCATCACTTACCCACACAGGAAGACTATTCAAGTCGAAGCGAACCAGTGCCTCTTTGAGACGTTGCAGGAACCGCGGTATCGAGTGGAGCCAAACAAGCCTCGCAAGACACGCCTTGCAGATAGCGCCTGACTTGCCGACGCTAGCAACTGTCTTTCGTAGGGTGAAGTTCGCTTCGACGCACGATGACACAGAAGCGAGCAACATCTTCGTCGTCGATGAGATGTAGGATCTGGCCACGACAAGACATTGCAAGGGAAGTCAACCAACAGGACTCCGCAGCGAGATTTCTGCAGACTGTGACACAAAGACTGCGGCAGATACTCATTTCCCAAGCAGGATAATATTGGAGTTCTTCGTGCATGAAGAAGCCTTGCCAGCGCGTTGCTCACTAGACCCTCTAACCTCTGTCGTCAAGCAAACTGAGGTAACGAACGCGCAAGGAAGTTAGACAGCGCACGTTTGAAACAGCCACATTTTGAAGTCTTGAAAACTTCCGCGACTGGCGCGAAACTATTGTGTATTATTGTGTCTTGCGCCGTCGCTGCTTTGGGCAGCAAAAGCTCTGCAACGTTAACCGACCAGGCTCGCCTACCTATCAAGAGCACCATCTTTGAAATCTTGGTTGTGTACAACATGACACAGATGCTGCTGAACACGTGTCTTGGGCGCAAGAACTTCCAGGTGTTGTCCATGTGTGTTCCATGTGCCTTGATTGATGACAGGGTCATGAAGGGACGTAGAAGCATGTATGGTCAGGCGTCTCGCGTTCTCGGCCCCCCTCCCCCAATGGTAATTACGGTGGAAGGTGGCGTGCTACTGGGGGGGGCGGCCAGGGATCACTGCGAGGGCCGGGATCTTAGGCAAGCCCCACGCCACCGACAAATCCTCTAAAGCAGCGCAAGCTCCTGTTTGTTTTAACCTTAACCTATACCTTAAACCCTACACCCAACCCCAAATACCGCCCAAATGCAGGTTCCAAGCCTAAAGCAGAGCATAAACCGTCAACCCTAATCTACACCCCAAGGCCGAGCCCTCCCTAAGCCGTTGTCGACTCGAAGCCTTATACTTTTAAACTTTAAACCTCAAACCCCAAACTCAAAAGCCAAACCCCAAACCCCAAAAATCCCACAGGTCCTGGACCATGGGCGGGGGAGGGGGTGGGGGCCGCGGAGCGCGTGACCATGTATAGCCTTGCACCTGAGGTATGTGTGTGTGCGAGTGCTTCAAGAAGCATGGCTGCGCCCTGACTAACGGGACCAGGTCGGTCCTTTGAGTTTCCTCCGCGGTCTGTGTTGCTGTTGCAACTTGAGGCAAGGGTTCAGCTATCCGTGGGGCAATCAGTTTGTCTACACGAAGGCAGGCGGGTGATACTTAAGGTTGCAGCAAAGGCTGCAGGTCCCAGAATGAATGGTCCAGTGGCAGAGTCCTGTAGTTCTTTGTGCCAGGAGGGCCACCGCCTTGGCTATTTCATATGGTTCCATTACCACTGCTGCCAGCTCGAGCTGTTGGATACGTCACTCGTCACAAGCGGATTTGTGGCATCATATGCGCAATTGACACGACACTAGTCATGGTTACGGACATGAGACTTGTGCGTGCGCTTAAGAGAAACTTCTCAGGGTCTTCGTGGTCATCCGCAAGCATCCTGGCTGGAGCAATAGTGAAACACTGTCATGCAGCCACTCTTGCAGTTGGAAGAAGGGAGCTCCCATGGTCGCGCCGCAAAGAGAGTGCAGAGTCCTAGGAAGTTTCAAAAGATCACGTTCCTCCACGTGTGGTGCGCAGCTCAGATTGAAAGGGCCACTTACTTCTCGCCAGACCTGAGATTGTAAAGAGTCGGCCCTGTTGCAGGCTGCGCCTGCTGAACATGTGGGGCTGGTTCTTTGCCTGCCGCTATGCCTGCGGTGGTGACACTTGGAAGCGGTGGCCTTCATGAAGAATGCAGAATGGCACAGTAACGCCGGATCTTGGCAGGCTTATCGCAATGTGACAGCATGAAGACATGTATTGGTGCAGTGCAGCACATTGGAGCTATAATACCAACAATCGGGAGCGCGGTTTTGGAGTCGTTCTTGCCAGTGTGTGGTGTCCGGTGCCGACTCTCGCAAGGACACCTATTTCCCAGCTGCTGTGAACGCTGCCACGCGGGCCGCTGCTTGGTTGGCAGATCGGAGGGCCCGTTCTCATGGAGTCATGCAAAGGTTGGGAAGGTATCATATCCACTGAAGAGAGAGAAGGAGTCGCAATGTTACGTACTTCGATTGGCAGCTACAAGCGAGACAGCGGCGCCGCAGGTCGTCTATGCCTTCTACAGCCTCTCGCTGCTGTCCCAGCGGGGAGTGCCGCTGGTGCGCAAGGCACATGTAACCGAACTTCAGATGTTCCAGCTGCTCGCCTGCTGTGGCCACTATCGCTGGCTCGACTTGACTCCATTTCCCGTCCGTTCAGCAACGGCATCATGCGGCTAATGCCGAGGTTTGCGATTTGTGCTTGCCACGCGCTGCGCGGGGCTTGAGATGGCAAGGGAAAGGGTCTGATTATTTGCTGCCTTGAAGTGTCTGCTCTGCTTCCCCGAGGTTTTGCATGTACAGGTTTTGGGACATGCAGATTTCGCGCGCTGTCCTGTTACTGTACTTCTTGGTCATGACCAGCGGCCTTATGCTCTACACGGACTTCCACTACCAAGCAGATGGCGTCCCGTTGCATTAAGTTGCGAATCCTTACCCTCTTGCCAAAGCAGCTGAGGAAAGTCAGTGACAAAGCTCGAAGCCCAGAGGAAGGCACGGTCGATATGTGTCTGTGTTCGCATGTTTACGCGGTCTCAGCCCGCAGATCAGCATTGCATTCGACTCCAGTGGTTGGCTGCATCCCGGAGCAAGAGAAGTTAGAAGGCGATCAGCTCGCAAAGTTTCGGTGCGATTTCGCCAAGCTTTTCAGAGCCTGATGGCATTCTGTCGAATTCTGCGCGATGCTGTACAGTAGCTGCTATCCAGGCACGGCATTCTCAGAGCCAAGGTATTGCTATCACTTCGGTGTAGCAGCTTGGCTGCGTGCCTCTGCAGCAGCTTTCATTGGGGTCTGTTCGCTGTTCTTTGGAGCCGGTCCGGTCCGGTCAGATAGCCAAGGGGAGCACCTGGTGCCTGACGACCTGCAACCTGAGGCGAGGCAACACACGGAACAGACATGTAGGTCGCAACAGAGCACTGGCTCTGTGGCTCTTGAAACTAGGAGGCCGAGTCCGAGAAATTCCCGAACCACCTAGCCTTCAGCGGATCTTCGGGAGCCTGGTTTGCACTGAAGCTCTGCCGATGGATGGGACTCGACTGTCGGCACTTTGTGTTGCGCTGAGGAGGCGCCCTCGTGGCCACCGTCCTATCCTGTGGTTTGCAGCCGAAGGAAGTCTTCGAAGTGGTGCTCACGAGACTCGGCCGCACCTGTCGGCGCCATACAGCGCGATGCCTTCGAAGCTGAGGAAGCAGCCCGAGTGTGCCTACAATCCATTCCGGATGCTCCCTGCGGCGGAGGACGTGCTGCGCAAGATGATGCCTGCAAACGCTTATCGACGCTTGGCAGAGCCTGGGGCCCGCCATATGCCCCTGGAATGTGAAGCCAAGGAAGCCTTTCTGGCCGCATCCGCGTCTTGCTGACCCGCGTCTCCTTGAAGTTCCCCTTCCTGAGCGCAGAGGTGGTAAACAGCTTCAAGAACCAAGAAGACGTTTTCCACGCGCTGCGCTCTTCTTGCCATGTCCCGATGCTGGGCCACAGTTAGCTTTTATCAGCCTGCATCGCATGGCACCGGAAGGTGTGCTCCGTTCGTGAACATGTAGAGTGGTCCGTTGTAAAAGCTCTTGTGAGCCACATACTGAATTGAAAAGCTGCCTGTTGCTGCAAGACCGAGGATCATAGGCGGAATTGGTCCTTACCGTTATGACGGGCATGCCTACTTTGATGGGATGTTCTGGCCGCAGATGCTCGTTCCCTGGAAAGGCCAGACGAGTTTGCCGGAGTTGCGTATGCTTTTCTCAAATGCATGGCACTGCCAGCTTAGAAGGTTTGAACCTAACTGAGTATGTCTATGCATGCATGTATACATGTGTGTATGTACGTGCGCTTTTTCCCAGGCAATGAAGCAGACTACGTCGTTCGCGTTTCGGCTCTTCTCTCAAACCCGTCGTCGGACATCAGTGCGCCATTCTTGCCTGCCTGGTGGTGTCTTGGCTGTGCCGATTCAGCGCAATTTCGTTGACGTGCATGGTGATTGTCAGACATGATACAGTGCACAGGCTTGTCCGAGAAGACACCCTGCACAGCCCGTCTGACGAGGTTGTCACTCTAGGAAGTTGTGTTTGCTGCAGGGCCGTCTTCCCCCCGAAGGAACCGATTCTGCGGGGGCTGTACTGGCGAGGCCAAGCGATCACCCATTGCATTCCGCTTTTGACTAGACAAAACCGGGGCAAAGCAAAGCAGCTCCACCGATGTCACCGGCGTGTGGCCTCGGTGGATTCAGACAAAATGCCTGTGACTTTTTTGCCACTTCTGCAGCATCAGTCGCAAATGACGCATAGCTTCATGGCACAGCTCTGTACTGCCTCATGACTCATGAGGAAGTTGCTGACAGGGTTTTAGAATGTTTTCGACCTTGTGAAGGCTTTAATCTCTCGGATGACAGGCTACCGCGATGCTGCCCGCTGGTTCAGCAGCCCGGAGGTGTCTGCCTGGTCCTGCAGGTCCGCAGTTCCTCGACAAGAAAGGATGCGGAGCCTTCGCCCCGCCCCACCCATACTGAGACCGGGCAGAATGCCAGACCGGCAGAAAGATGGGCTGGGCAGCGCCAAGGCCAGCGCAGAAGGTCTTCGTCGTCGGCCATCTGGCAAAGGCACCCGGTCCCGCACGAGTCACGAGCCTGCTCTGCGAGCAACGTCAGCGTAGGGCCCTTAAGCTCAGGCCGCCTCTCGCTGAAGCCAGAGGGTACCGAGGATGCCGATGGCGAGGACCGCGATCGCTGGCAGCGTCCTGAGGAAGTGCGGACAAGACATCAAGGGCCAACTTTGCTTTTCTTGCAATTGTCGGCGTGCGGTGCACGTGCAGCTGCCCCCAGTTGCGCTGAGCTTGCTGCCAGGTTCGAAATCCAAAAGTTGCTGCTCAAGAAGCCCGACGGCCTAGTGCCAGATGTGGACCCCGCAACTGGTGTCTGGGCGCAGACGAAGCGAGTCTTTGTGTGGACGGCGTTCCAGTAAGACATAGTATGTGCCACCGCTGGCGCGTAGCTCGTGGAAGTTCCTCACAGATGCAAGAGCGAAGCGAACTCTGATCCACTTGCTGGTGATGCTGGTGCTTTGCTGATCTTGCAAGGCCAAGCTCCTGAAGAGTACATCGAGCTTATGGAAGCTGCTATGAACAGAGAGAGGATGTGCATCGGAGGGATGACGTTTGGATGCAACAAAGTTCTTTCTTTTTGACTCTGGTGCAAGGTGTGAATCAAACTGTAACATGTATGGGTGCCCAGGTCGATGGTCATTTGCGCGTTGGTCTTCATGTGGGTCCTGGTTGGCTGGCTCTGAATTTGCGCCCACGTGTACCCGTATCACCTTTTGAACAACAGAGATGAAACCTTGTACAGCATCGAGTGGTGACAAGCTCAGTCGCACACCTGGAAGGCCTCCCGGGGTTTCATGCCAGCCTGACTCAGCTCTTGCACGGCAAGAGGATGCAAGCATACGCAAACTCGATAGTGACATCTAGGCAGAAGCAGCGATGCCTAAGGCCTAATGAATTACGTTGTGACATGCCGCAGAGCTCTCGTGTAGCTGTAACTGACGAGTGTGCTCAAGCAAGTGTTCTTTTCAATATCACACGATCGTGTAGACCTGGAAATTCTTACAATGTCCTTGAGCTCGTTGTGGCTGAAACCTGTCAAGTCCAAGTAGCTCTTGCCAGTTGCGGCAGAAGTGTTTGTAGTGACTGCTATTGGCTCCAGCCAACATATGGCAGCCGCAGTCCAAGCAAAGTCGTTAGACTTTTGGGGAAGAGGGAGGCGCCTCCCCCTCCCCACTGAATAGACATCTTGAAAAAAGCTCCTGCTTGGCTGCATCTCATCGGCATGTCTCCTACCTTCCAAAAGAGATCTCCGCATCATCCGCCTGCCTCAAAACAGCTTGTTGCGATGTGGTAGTCTGGACACCGAGCATGGCATTCGCAGTCGAATCCCGATGCCTTCTGGAACTGTCAGGCCTCGTTCCGCAACGTCATCACCCGCAGTGAACTTCGACGCACTGGCTCGGGTCAGGCGTCTTCGCCTGCGCGGCCAAGGTCACGCAGCCGCACCAACACAGACACTTAGCGTTTCCGCCTCGCGACCTCTGGCATCATTGGTATCCTTTGGCCATCAAGAGCGTCACATCGCTGAGCGCTGGCTTCTGGCCTCTGCTGTCGTCACCTTCAGCTCACTGGCTGCAGTGTCCCGCATGTCAATGGGCTAGCTGTCGCATTGATTGTGATTTAGTGAAGGCCGCGAAGGCTGCTTCAAAATGGCCGAGAAGGGCGCATGTTGAGGTCCATCGCCACATGTCCATACTCGTGCGGGCTATCCTTGGCTGGCGTGGAGGTACATACAGAAAGCCTGTTTCTCCATGTGCCGCCACGAAAGTCTAGCTTGTCCAAATTCCTTATGTGGATTGCCCGGAAGACTCTGCAAATTCGATGCATGCTCTTTCCGACTGTTGCCTGATGACGAATTGCGCATGCGACCAGGACTCGTTGCTGACTATAAGGTGAAAGACGACCCACCCAGTAGGTTTTATGACATAGATCCATCCGACAGCTGGTTTCATGCAGTGGCATCATCAGTTGAAGGGCGCCTGGAAGTGCTGGGTTGGCGCTGCGTCTCTGGGCTCAGCCAGTAGGAGGGACGGGACAGGGCAAGAGCCGGCCCGGTCGCCGGAGCCTCAGAGCTGCAATGAGCTGCAATGAGCTGCAAGCTCTCTGCTGTGAGGCCATGCAGAACATGTCGGCCACAGGCAGGCTGCCCTCAAATTCAACATGTTTGGCGGCCCGCAAGCCCAACGCCACCGCACTGTGTCTTGTCGAACAATGTGTGCTACGGCTGGACTCTGGGTGTCGTGCACGATGCCGGCTGTCTTCGTATGCCTTGTGCCTGCTGAGCGCTGCTGAACCCGTTGGAGGGCCGGGGCTCGGGGAGGGCTTTTGATCAGTCCGGCACAGAGACTTGGACGAATTTCGACTTTGGGAGTCTTCCAAGGCTAATCGGCTAATGCTTTCCAGTCGTGCTGGTTTCTCTCGTCATATAATTGGAGATTGGAGTGATAGTAGTCGTAGGCCGTAGCCTGCCTGGTACAGTTTCGATGTGGCAGGCCAGATGTACCTGAACTATGGCCAGGCCAGGAGGTTACAAAACCCTGCCTGAAGATACAGGATTCGACGTTGATGCCCAGTGAAGACTCGTTGATGCCAGCGATTGCCAGCATGTTCCCTCAGAAACACATGCCAACCAAACAGTCGCAACAAGTAAATCGTCATGTCCAGGTGCTGCCGAAGGGCACTACCCAGGCACAGCTCGTTGCTTGTACAGCACTGACTCAGTCCATCCCACACTTAGAGTGCGACTCGTCACAGTTAGTTCAAGTTATTGATGCGACATATGCGCAGCACTTGCCTTCACCCTGGTCCACCTCACGTGGTGTGGGATTGAGCACCGAAGAAACATGAAGACACCATGGCTGTCTTGTTGATAGATTCTGAGGATGCACGCGGCTGAGCCTTGCGCCAGGTGTCAGCTTTGCTGGACATGGCTGCAAGACTGAAGGCTGACCGGATGCGTCAGAGATTTCCGGAGCTGATGCATCAAGCTGTGGCAGCGTGCTGTGGCCTGTGGCAGGCTTCGGGCGATTCCCGTGGTGCTGCAGAGAAGTGTTTCGAGGTACTCAGGCACGCCTTCCAGCGGGCCGGCAGGGCATCTCAGCAAGCCTGGTAACGCCTTGCGCCCTGGTGTGAACTAAGTTTGGACCCCGAGAACTTCCAGGGCCATCTCAGCCTCGGCACCTTGTACTTGGCAGCCGAGACCACAGAAACAGCACAGATAGCGAAATAGCGCCCCTTGTCCAGTTCTAATGCTTTCCGACCAAGGCTGGTGACTACGCAAGAGCTTTGGAACATTCGGAGAAGGCGTGCTTCGAAGTTCGTGGCACGGTGAGGAGACCGAAACGGGGCTTGCAGGCCTACAAGTTGGATCAGCGATCCACGGAGGCCTCCGAAAGCAGAAAGCAGCGATCCCCACTGTAGATCTCAGTTTGTGTGAACAATTTGCCGGCAAGCCGACAGGCCATGAACAATATTGGCGCAGTCTGCAGACAGCAAGGGAATTACCAGGCCACCATTTTTCTCATCTGCCTCGTTGCATCAGCCGGCTGGAAGTTGGCTTGTCTCAGGCTGCTGCAGATTGGTATCGTGCTGCGCTGAGAACGAACCCGAACTGTGAGTGCGGGCCTTGGGCAGCAAGCCCACCAAGTGCAAAACGCTACTAGTGATTCCCAGCATGCTGTCCCGGAGTCTATGCCAGCCTATGCATGTGAACGCATGGGGGATCGGGGATCGCGCGGACCCTGCCCAGGACAACTCCGATGAATTTGGCAGTTTGTTTGATCAACCACGGGCTACATCTGAAAGCGTTCAGGCCTTATGTTGAAGGGTTCAGTGCCGCAGCAGCCGAGTGCATGTCTTGCCGGTCTTGCCTGCATGCCTGGCAAGAGCTTAGCCTTTTTACTTGTCGTGCACTCTTGGACCACCTTCTGAGGCAGGCTTTGTGCAGCTGGAGCTAAGATCTTTCCTGAGGTCGGACCCAAAGGGTGCCATCAGATGCTACACAGAAGCCGGAAGCTAAGCAGCTGAACACAGGGGCTGAAAGAACTTTGTGGGGCTTCTGCTCTTCAGCGCGCCGACTGCTCGTTAGCTTGAGTTCGGATTGTGCATTACCTTCTTGCAGTTCCTGCGACGTTCGAGCACTTGTTCATGACATTTCGAGTGGCGACTGCTGTGGCACTGGGCAGCCTGCCGAGGCGCTGGTTCATTGCCCAAGCAATGCGAATGCAGCATGGCTGCAGCCATGCAAGAGAGTCTGTGACATCAAAATTGGTACACTTAGCCGCGTTGCTGGCTGCATGCTTTAGTTTAATCCGTGGAGATTTCTTGAACTTACTCAGTTCAAAATCTGGACAGGCATATTACAATTTGGGCGTGTCCTACGCAGAGATGCACAAGTACGACAAGGTGCGGCGTCGGCTGGGCTAGGTCAATGGACGAGCCAAGACAGGCTGTACAGAGGGCTGCGTCTCCTCGGAGGCTCTTATCAACTACCAGCTCACGGTGCACTTCGATCCACGCTGTGCTGAGGCGCCGGTCCCCTCTTCTTGCCAACACAGCTCAAAGCAGGCTTGAGCGTTGCAACGCATGCTAGTCTGTGGTCTCTGTCCTTTCCGTGAGATCAGACTACTTCAACTCAGCCCACCCGGAACATTGGCTGGCCAAGCACAGTCAATTGGCATTGCAACGTCGAGTAGTGCTGAAGTTTTGGCAGAGTTGCGGCACTGGTTACTGCTTCCGAGCCTGGCAATTGAATCTGTTCAAGGCATTAGTCGAGATGTCGAGCTGTAGCAGCGGCACACGTCCCCCGCAAAGGGATGAGGAACGTACGCCATGTCAACATCTCGATGACTAGGCTTCTGGCGTGGACAGTGATCAGCATCATGCCGCTGCAAAGCATGTAAGACTGTTCCAGAACAGTGGCAACCCGTCATACTTCCGCTCTCAAGCACCGTGGCATCCGAATGTATCCGAAGCTTCACAGCTCAGGTTACAAGCACGCCCACTTACGTGTGACAGTCTGCATGTCAGCACAAATGGTCCACCTTCTCCGAGGATGGCCATTCCAGTAGGCAGCACATAGAACGCCGTGCCGTGCACATCTGCGTCCTCAATGAGGACGGTCGGCCGCCACCAAGACGGTGCAGTGCTAGGTCGGGAAGTCTTAAAGTTGATGTGTCTAGAATGACGTCCTTTCCGGAGTTGAGAAGGAGCACATCCGTAGTGCTGTGCAGTCGGGTTACCAAGCCCTCCGGGCCCCGTGGGCCCGTGATCAACTCCGGACCTCCAACCCTGGTCCCGAGTCCCGAGAGCAGAAGCCGGAGCCAGAGGCGGACGCGTCAACTTCTTTCGTTCGCGCCGCTCTGAAACGAACACGACCCGTCCCGTCGTCGACTCGATGCAAGCACTTGCGAGCACAGCTCCCCAATTTGCCGGGCATTGCGAAGATTCTGGAAGGGTGATGCGGCCCCTCAGGCCCCGCGAACGCTCAGCATGTTCCTGTTCTCGTGTTCGAGGCTCGGGTCATTCGGGCCGTAGTCAACTTTGCAGGCTTACAATAATATGGGCGTCATCTTCAAGGAGCAGGAGAACCTCGACAAGGCCTAGGGCCTAAAATCAAGACACTTGGGTGCGATGGTTGCCACATGTTCACTCTCGGCACAGGCTCTAAAGTACTACCACATGGCCATTCAGTGCAACCCGCGATTTGCACAGACTTTGAACAATCTAGGCCTGGAGCGCTTCTTGTTGTGGAAAAAATCGCTTCCCTCCTGCCCGGCTTTGTGCTCAGGTGTGGCTTACACCACGTCGGGAAGGCTGACTGAGGCACCGATGCAGCAGTGCATGGCTACTGCAGCTCTGCCCTGATACAAAAAGTGCCATTCATGCATGCCCCATGCAAGGGGCATGGTTGCTGCAGGCGCTGGAGTACCTGTCAAGGGCGGTCGCAGTGGCTCCCAACTATGCCCGAGTCTTGGACCGTCTCTGGCAGGCGGCAGACGCCGTAGCTCTGCGGCACTTTTCAGCCATTGCCGACCCAGATGTTTTGCAGTCGGGCTGCTGTCGAGGCCGAAGCATACAACAACTTGGGCTGGCTTTTCTGGGACCATGGAGACCTAGCGCAGGCCCTTGCAGCAAAGCCATGCACAATGCCCTCGGGTTTGTGTGTCAGCACAGTGAAGGTGTCTGAGTGCGCATCTGCATGTCGATAAACGCAGTGCTTGCCAAGCTTCAAGTTCCGGTGAGTAAAACTGAGTTTGAAAGAGACCTAGCCGCTTAGCCCTACCAACTCTTGAAGTGAACGCTCCCCTCACGTTGGGACTTGGGACAGGCTTTGCGCATGTACGAGCGCTGCATCGAGCTGTCCCCGACGTCCAAAAACCCTTCACAGAATCGCCACTCGGTGTTCCTTTGCACCGGAGCTGCCGTTGCCGTCGTGCTTGAAACAGCCCAAGGTTTACTGGCATTGAATTATTTGCCCATGCCTGAGCGCACTATTGTGCGAGTCAGTGCAATATGCCGTTTCTCATTCTCATCACATACTGGCCAGTGGTAGATTGAATTCAGATAGCTCAGGTAAGTTGTTGCACTATTTACGGGAGCAGGATCCGGCTAGGGCTGCCTTGTCGCCACCACGATGACGTAGCTATCAGTCACATGAAGAACCCAGAAACGTACGTACATATACATATATATATATATATATATCCATATGTATGTATATATATATATATATATATATATATCCATATGTATGTGTATGTATATATATATATATATGTATACTTATATATATATATATATATAATTATATTTATATTTAATATTCTAGTATAACTTACACGCTATATGACGTATGATATGGTATGTTGTGCACAGAACTTCGACAAGCGATCAGGCATGGAGTGTCCCCAGACCTTGTCTTTCAGGCGCCGCCCCGCTGTCTGCTTTCTTGACGTGTGATGCATTTTTACATACATGCATGTATACATACGCACACAAGCGCACGTAGACAAACTTCTTGAATGTCTAGATCTCAGCCAGAACTGAACAACAGGGCGCTCTACACTGAGAATTTCGTCTATGAAGCAGCATCACCACACCTACCCGGCTTTTGAACTGCTTGGGTTGCTGGCAGGCGAGCGCACATACAGAGACACCGAGATAAGCGCACACACACACAGACACACACAGACAGACACACACACACACAGACAGATTGCCTCACGGACGAACAGACAGAGACAAACAGACGGACAAACAGAGATCACACTCAGACATGCAGGCACATCGACACAGACACACTGACACACTGAGACACAGACACGCAGACACACAGACACTGAAGAAGTGTTGTCCGCACTCACGGATGGATGTCCACGAGGGACGTTACTCTAGATTGCAATGTAGCATGTGATGTCGGGCCATGCACATGAAACAGATCAAAACTGGCAAACCCAGTTCTAATCTGGACACCACAGGGGGCCTGTCCTGGATCTAATCTGTTGCACGGCGTCCTGATTCCATATCACCATGCTGATGGAGTGTCTTCGTTGACTGGTGACTCAGCATGCAGCACTCCCCTGCAAAACCAATGTTGAAAAGACAGCTTCCTGGCAAACGTGGTCCTGAAAAGGAGTATATCTGCATGTGAACAAGCAAGAGGGTTGTGAACCCCTTGTCTCATGAACGAGAGAAGTGCACACATACATACACACACACACACACACACACACTCACTCCCTCCCGAGTCCCCCGCACACCAAAGATGCAACGACATGCAACATTCGTGCACCAGGCGGACCGCAGAGGCCAGATAGTGACAGATAGTGAGCTGGTTCATGTGCTTCTTACCGGCTCAAAGCTGACATGATGACAGGAACATCACTGCAGGCATAGGCACATCTCGATTTAAGATCACTTCGAAGAACCTGCACCTCTTCGATTGACTCTTCCTATCGAGATGTTTCGCTTCGTGCAGCTTCGTCCATGGAGCCTCCCGACGTGAGTTGCGGTTTGGACGAGCGCCTTGTCACGTATGCCTTCTGCAACTCACGACGCAGAGCTCGTGTGTCGGAAAACGTAGAAGTATAAGGATGTTAACGCCGCCTCCAAACCCAGGTGCTCTTATGGCGACACAGCGCGAAGTCTTACGGCATCATGGCGCTCTACAGTATATCACGCAGGCTCCAAGTATCAGGAAAGGGATCAGCTTCGAAGCCTGGGCAATGCTTAAACCCGAGCTGAGGTACGAGACAGAGTCCCCAACAGCGGCGCCGACGCTCGACAGATTTCGATTGCCTGCAGACGACGGCACCGAGTCGGTTCGAAAGCCTTAAAGCTTTCGTTTTCTGGCACTGCCAGTTAGTGCGAGCCTGGAGTAGTGGTATGTTTGGCAGACATGTTCGACTAGCAAGGCGACCCTCGCAAACAGCAGAGGAGCTTCGTCAGTTTCCGAACTAGCCAACACACAAGGACGCCATTGCTTAAAGCTACTGCTGACATTCGCTTCTACATGGAACGCCTGCTATGCTGAAGCTGCAGGTCCAATCTCGTAGGAAGCGCGGGCTTGCGAGTTCGAGGGCAAGCAAACAAAATTGAAGAAATGCAACACTCGTGCCTGCCACTTTCTATGCACCTCGCCGAGTTTGCCTGCCAGGAGCTGTTTGCGCCGCAGCCAGGGAAGAGCTTCGGCGTGTTGAAGCTTGCATGCAAGCGATGGGAATTCGACATTTAAGACCGCAGTGGACGACCAAGTTGATCATGGAACTGCCGATACCTTGCAAGTCACGATGACGAGTCCGACATTAAAGGCAAGTGTAAATGCTTCACATCGTCCGCGTTGGGCGGGTCGCTGACTGGGGCAGTTTCAGCAGCGGCGGTGGATGGCCCCCTAGAGGGGTGATGAAGAGGCCGGGAAAGAAGTTCGTGCCTTTGACCACTTCGGCCGGGGCCGAGGCGAATGAATGCCTCGTTCATGGTGGATCATGGTGGATCGAGTGTGTGTTGGCCTGCATCTGAGGACCGCAGTGGTGCAATTAGCTGCTTGTTAGCACGCAAGGTCCAAAATGCTGCCATTTCTCTGACCCCCTCCCAGGTGTTGCCTGGAGTTGGCCTTCAATCTTTCAATTCACTGTACGGTATCACTTCATTATGAAGTTTAGATTTCTCCGGCCTAAGGCTTTCATCGCAGCTTTCCACAAGTGCAAGCTGCAAGAAGAAGCCGATGCTGCATTGGGTACAGATACATCCCTCTACTTGGGCCTCCTGGCAGCAGACCTCCAAGTACGACGTGCTGATTTGGAGAAGCAGCTGCGGGGGTATGTACATGTAGGACCAGTGTGGGACCAAGCTTCTCCCCGCAAGAGCACAACTTCAGGCGTTGCCCTGATGATCTTCGTGGGCTTTGGCTACCTGAAAACCTTTCTCAAGGCATGGCATGGCCCTTGCGCCATCTTGAGTGATCTTGAGTGGTCTTCAACTCCTAGCTGCTCCTAGGTCCCAGGTGTCGGCTGCAGAAGTCCCTGCTTTATACCGCAGCATTCAATTGTACATAGCATTGCGAGGCGTACGGCCTCGGTGCCGTTGGCTTCACGCTCCCAAGCTGATCTATCTATAGAACTACAGAGTTCGAAGTTGAGTCATAGGAGTTTGGAAAAAGAAATCCGGTTGCGCATGTATACACTGTATGCAGGGTAAGCCGCAGCGTTGTGCAGATTCGGGAGTCACACGAAACCACCAAATGGCAACAGCCAGAGTGGCAGCCTGTGCTCACAGTGTTGTGACAGGCTGCTGATCTCCTGCGTGGGGATCCAGTGGGCGCTGATCCTCGAGTCTTGCTTGCGACAGGCCGTCGGCGTTGTCCAAGGGAGCCCTAGCGGTCGTAGCAGATTCAATTCGGAGCCCGCCTGCACGTGGCCGAGAAGGTCATGCCTTAGACGCTGTCTCAAACAATAAATCGTATCCCTCTTTAACTCGGATATCCTGGCCCAGCGGGGTCATGATTTGGTGTGAGATTGCACTCTTATTTCTGCTGAACACCTGTTTCTGGGGATTGAACACTCATTGTGGGGGATTCAACAGTTAATTCTGGGTGAGTGAACACTTCCTGGAGAAATTGAACACTAATTTTAACGCTACGCCGCCCGACCCAACCTTTACACCAAGCGGAAACGCCATCTTCCCGTGTGGGGGGACAGGGGGACAAGGGGGTGCAAACGAACGGTCGCCAAACATTTGGACTGCAGGGAGGAGGATTAGGTGGAGGGTACCTGAGGTAACCCCCAAGACGCCTGGGCCTGTGGCCTCAGCGGATTTCTGGTATTTGTAGATTTTTTGCTGGTGTGTTTTGAAGGGTGAAGTAAGTGTTCATGTCGTCCAGCTTTGGTCGAGTTTGGGTGTTCAATTGTCCAGATAAGTGGCGATGTGTTTCCAACTTAAGTGTTTGGTCATATGGAATTAACTGAGTGTTCAGTCGCCCAGATTGAAGTGTTCATTTCATCCAGATTCACATGTTCAGTCGTCCAGAATGATTAGGTGTTCATTTCGTCCAGATTTGAGGGCGCAGGCGTGCACATTGAACAGGTTTAAGAGTTCGATTTCATGCCAGAAGCCACTGTTAGAGGAAGCGTGTAAGTCATGCCTAGTGCCTGTGTACACACTTCATTACACTGCTCTGCGCACAACTGCCGAGACGAGATAATTGCGTTTTGTATGCTATATTGATCCGGTGCTTGTAGCAGTTCTTTTCAGGGGCTGGGTCACGTCTTTCGCCGCTGGCGTCGATTCAGACCTCCATGCACGCGCACGGGCGAACCGAGAAAGAGAGCGAAATGCGCGGACAGACAGAGCAGGAGCAAGCGCATGAAAGCGAGGAGAGAGAGAGAGAGAGAGAGAGAGAGAGAGAGAGAGAGAGAGCGAGAGAGAGAGAGAGAGAGAGAGAGAGAGAGAGAGAGAGAGAGAGAGAGAGAGGGAGAGATGGAGAGGGTACCGTATTTTTTTTGTCAATTTTTCTGGTTTTTTTCTGTCTATTTTTCTGGTTTTAGGTTGAACGCAAACGAAAGAAAGAAGGGGAGAAACGGAAGCCGGAAAGAAAGAAAGGAGCAAAGAAGCAAACAAAGAAAGCAAAAAAGGAAGACACCAGGAAGAGGAGAAAGAAAGAAAGGACGAAGGACAGAAAGACAGGAAGGAAGGAACGAAGGACGACAGAAAGAAAGAAACAACGAAGACGGGAACAAAGGAAGAAAGCAAGAAAGCAACACACCAGAATGGGGAGAAAGAAAGAAAGGAAGGAAGGACAGAAGGACAGACAGAAGCAAGGAAATAAGAACGCAGGAAAGACAGAGAGACAGAACAGAAGAAATGAATATCGAAAGACAGAAAGCCAGCAAGGACGACCAGAAGGAGTGTTAGAAAGAACGGAGCAAAGAAAGAACCCAAGAACGAAAGCAGGATAATTAGACAGCAAGAAGCAAAGACCAGAGACCCCGCTGTTTTGAGCTGTGTGCAAGCTTGCTTGACAGCATAGACGTCGTTTTTGAAACCCACCCTGCATAAAATATAAGGCTTTTTGAAACAATGCCATTACCATGCAAAGAGTGTCTTTGCAAATGGAAAGCCTGCCACGGGCGTGCGAGAGTGCCGAGCTTGCTTGACAGCATATATGTGTTTTGTTGAAAACCCCACCATGCGAGCATCCTCATGAGCTGCCCCCCTTAAACCGCCCCGCCGCATAGATTTTGTTGTAAACCAGACATGCGAGCATCGTGATTGCAAATGGGGGGGGCTGCGCCCCCCCCAACCCCCCCGCTGTGTAAGCCGTGTGCCAGGTTGCATGACAGCATAGGAGTCGTGACAGCACATACGCATGTTTTAACCAACCACGCGAGCATCATGCTTGCAAATCGGGGGGGCTGCGCCCCCCCAACCCCCCCACTGCTTTAAACCATGTGCAAGCTTGCGTGACCGCAGCTTTGCTTGACAGCATCTATTTTTGTTTAAAACCAACCATGCGAGCATCATGATTGCCGCCCTTAAACCCCCCCGGCCGCATGTGATTTGTGGTAAACCAGCCATACGAGGATCGTGATTGCAACTGGAAGCCGGAAAGAAAGAAAGGAGCAAAGAAGCAAACAAAGAAAGCAAAAAAGGAAGACACCAGGAAGAGGAGAAAGAAAGAAAGGACGAAGGACAGAAAGACAGGAAGGAAGGAACGAAGGACGACAGAAAGAAAGAAAGAACGAAGACGGGAACAAAGGAAGAAAGCAAGAAAGCAACACACCAGAATGGGGAGAAAGAAAGAAAGGAAGGAAGGACAGAAGGACAGACAGAAGCAAGGAAATAAGAACGCAGGAAAGACAGAGAGACAGAACAGAAGAAATGAATATCGAAAGACAGAAAGCCAGCAAGGACGACCAGAAGGAGTGTTAGAAAGAACGGAGCAAAGAAAGGACCCAAGAACGAAAGCAGGATAATTAGACAGCAAGAAGCAAAGACCAGAGACCCCGCTGTTTTGAGCTGTGTGCAAGCTTGCTTGACAGCATAGACGTCGTTTTTGAAACCCACCCTGCATAAAATATAAGGCTTTTTGAAACAATGCCATTACCATGCAAAGAGTGTCTTTGCAAATGGAAAGCCTGCCACGGGCGTGAGTGCCGAGCTTGCTTGACAGCATATATGTGTTTTGTTGAAAACCCCGCCATGCGAGCATCCTCATGAGCTGCCCCCCTTAAACCGCCCCGCCGCATAGATTTTGTTGTAAACCAGACATGCGAGCATCGTGATTGCAAATGGGGGGGGCTGCGCCCCCCCCAACCCCCCCGCTGTGTAAGCCGTGTGCCAGGTTGCATGACAGCATAGGAGTCGTGACAGCACATACGCATGTTTTAACCCACCACGCGAGCATCATGCTAGCAAATCGGGGGGGCTGCGCCCCCCCAACCCCCCACTGCTTTAAACCATGTGCAAGCTTGCGTGACCGCAGCTTTGCTTGACAGCATATATTTTTGTTTAAAACCAACCGTGCGAGCATCATGATTGCCGCCCTTAAACCCCCCCGGCCGCATGTGATTTGTGGTGAACCAGCCATACGAGGATCGTGATTGCAACTGGAAGGGGTTGCGCCCCCCCCCCAACCCCCCCGCTGCTATAAGCCGTGATTGCATGACAGCATAGGAGTCGTTTTGGAAACCCGCGATGCCTAGCATATCCTAGGATGAATCTTTTAATTAGAAACAACACCCTTCACCTTGTGAAAAGTGTGCTTGCAATTGGGAAGCATGCGCCGAACGTGCGAGAGTGGCATGCTTGCTTGACAGCACATACGCATTTGACCAACAAAAAATACCACCCCCCCTCTCAAAAAAACAAAACACAAAAAACATCCTCCAGGTCGTTGATCTCTCAGCATTAGGGCAAAGGTGCAGGAATCAGTGCGGATTAAGGTTCAGCAGACATGGGCCATACAATCTATTTCTACAGTCCCAGGCCCCTCTCCACCCAGACCGCAACCGCAGAGTCTTAGAGTTTCAATCCAGAAGCTTCGCGGATGCTATAAGCGCGCGGGGCAAAAAAGAAGTGTGAGAGACACGGCAGCATTGTGGCAGGAGCTTCGGACAGTCCAGCAGCTGCCGCGAGACGAGCGAAGAAGTTTGGGAAGCTTTGAAACCGAAAAATCTACAAAAAATACCGAAAACATACGCAAGGAAGAATTCCAGTCAGAGGTGGAGAACGGTCACGGCCACTAGGCTAGATTCCGAAAACCAAGGAAAGCATAACTAAAACCAGGAAAATGTACAAAAAAAACCAGAAAAATACACAAAAAAGAACTCCAGTCAGAGGTGGCGAACGGTCACGGCCACCAGGCTAGATTCCGAAAACCAAGGAAAACAGAACTAAAACCAGGAAAATATACAAAAAAAAACCAGAAAAATAGACAAAATAAAAAAACTCGCTCCAGATGGAGAGATAGAGAGATAGAGAGAACGTGTCAAGGCGCGGGGGTGAGGGAGGGTGGGAGGGAGGCCGCTTAGTCAGCTTGCCACAAGGGGATCCGAACCACTGTCGAGTCTTGTTCTCCTTCCTCGTCGTATGCAATGATAGGATATGAGAGGGTCATGACACCTTGCAAGGCGGATTTTACCATTGATTTGCCAGCGCTGCTGCGTGCCAACATTGACGTCGTCCCTGTGCCTGGGAAGCAAATCTCAGACCGCGAGAGAGTAAGCGGAGGAGACTCTTAGGCTGCTAGGCTAGGCCTTAGGCTGGGAAGCAGTTAAGTGTGAAACGCGAGGTCTTGGTGTCCTTCGGAGCGCTGATCGGCGCGTGTCTGAGCCGTGACGCCTCCGTGCACTTAGCTTTGCTTCGTCGAGTCTCCATGCAGACTCGGACCGAAAATGCGTCGCTGTGTCGAAAGTGTGCGAGGCAGGGTTTCTCCGCTGCAGATCATTCTCTTGGTGATGCAGGGGCCTCGGATGATTCGGAAACACCAACTGTGGGAGGACTGCGGCGATAGTTATAGTCACAGTACAGGGGATGCAAATGATATGGTTGTGCCTCTGGTGCGTGGTGACCGATCGTGACTGAGGATCGAGCTGCCATGCTTCACCGTTCACAAGGCCAATTTGAGCTCACACGAATTCAGGATCTTTCGTCTGAGAGGACACAAGCGCCTGTAGCCCACGAGCGTCCCTGAGGTCTGCCTGCTGAGACAGGGTGACTCTTGGATCGCAGAGGCATCGACGGGGTCGGCGTGAATCCTTTGTCCCAGATAAGGACGCAAGGCCTCTCGTCCACGATGGTGGTGGGACGTTCTTGCATGCTACTTGGCTTGGTGTTTCTTTTGCACGGACTTCGCTGAAGCCTGCCAAAGAGCCTATGCGAGGAATCCCTTACCATGACCTTACAAAATCCTGCATGCCGAGGTCTTTGGTGCTTACTTCGGCCTTGCCGCTGCTTCGAGCCTCGGACCGGCCGGAAAGGACCCGTCCAAAACACAAGTCGAGCAAAGAAGGGCGGGAGGCAGGAGGCGAGGCAGGTTCTTTGCTCGAAGGTCCAGAATGTCAGCGCTGAGAAGGGCCCAGGGTAGGTCTTGGAGGGGAGGTTCTGGATGTAGTAGATCATATGGTCGGCGTTGTGAAAGTTTCTTTGTTGTTTCAGCGTGCCGTACTTTTGCCTCACCTGTTCTTGTGTTGGACTGTGGGTTTTCGGGTTCTTGTGTTTTCTCTTGCACTGGCCTCGTTCGGGACGTCAAAGGTTTTTCTCGGAAACCGGCTACTGTTGAACTCCGCGCCTTGCACGAAGGAGAAGCTGAGGAGCAGCTCGTACCAGCCGGGGCGCCTGCAAAGAAACGAAGCTAAGACGGTAAGGATGTGGAAAGATTTGGCTTCTCAGGTCGGATATCCTTGCCTTGATCGGCACAGTCTTTCTTTGGATGATGCTTGGCTGGGAATGACACAGAGCGTGATGAGTCGGAATCGCCTCCAAACACGGCAAGCCTGTGCGTTCCGTGCAAGGTCATGGCCGAGCTTCGTCGCTGCTGGCCAAGCCACTAGAGCGGCGCAACTCCAGGATCGAGAAGAGAAGAAGAGAGTCGCTCCGTGCGGTTGCAAGCTCCGGTCTCTGTGACGTGAGGCGCTCCTTAACACGGTGCTCGCGCTCCTCTCCTCCACTGTCATGACCTTCGGCTTGTCGCAGCTTCAGGCTCGAGGCTTGAGCTCTGTTTGGCGAAAGTTGCTTTGAGCTGACAGGATGGCCGGCTTGACCCGCAGACGGTACAGAATGCTACTTTGGCAGGAGGTGGGATCGTGGGATTGAAGTGGTCGTCACCCTTTATCGACCCCACGAAACTGCCTTAAGCCCAAGGCGTTGCTATCGGCGCCACAGCGAGTGTGGTGGGACCGTCTCCATCTGAGGAAGACTTTGAAAGTGAAAGTGAAGCTTGGAAGCTTTGGCTTTGGGCTGCCTCTTCTGGCCACTGCCACTCACCCTGCGCCCTACGCAAACAGCTCAAGTTCAGGTTTGCTGCTGCCACCCTAGGCATGATTGCCGGTTCTTTGCCAGGCGCTCAGAGTAGCGCGCAGAAGCAGGCAGAAGGCGACAGGGTGCCTGGCACAAACATTCACCGAGAACATGGGTTCCTTTGTCAATCCTGGTGTCTGTCCGTCCATTCGTCAAGCTTTGCATTTTCATGCTAAAATGATCTAAAGTGCAGAGACAAGCATGGAGGCAGCCAGGGGGTCAGACATGCATGTGCATAGTTTTCTGTAGACTCCTGGCTCATCCCATCCCACATGTGCGATAGCCGCATTTATGTCCGGTGCACTGTTAGTCGTTCTTGTGTAGTCTTCGTGAAGTACGAGCAGCATGACAAACTCTGCTCAGGGCCACTGTGGGCTTTGCCCTGTCCCCGCTGTTTCGTGTCGTTGACACGTGCGCCTTGGCTGCTGTGGATTCAGTTTCGTACGGGACTGTGGGTTTCACAGGCTGACAGTCGGCCCAACGGGCGTGCTTTTCTTTGCGCAGCCGCGAGCTCCCTGAAACAGAGGATGATCATCAACTGATGCTCGGATATGTGGCTTGTGGCTTGTGGCATTTGCCTGAACCAGAACTGGAGTTTCAGTTCTGCACCACATGGGCTTTGGATTTGAAGTCATGCTCTGGGACAGTTTGTCAGTCTGCTAATTTCCCTGCCTCCAGCCAGTCTTTAGCAGCTCAAGTCATAGTCAAAGATCATGAAGAAAAATCCTTCATAGTTTCAGACTCACCTGAGCCGAAGTTGCTTCAAAGAACTCCTGCGGGGTTGAGTTGTGAGAGATTGTAGCGATGGGTCAGTGCTAGCTCGAGCATCTTCAGTGCCTTCAGCGCTCTCCTTTTGTGGTGAAACTGGAGCCTTGCGCGGCCCCTAGGCGGCGTGCATAACCTGCACGGCATGCCCGGCATCTTGGGAGGCGCAAGCAAAGCCTGTTGAAGTGCCGGGGGCAGTTCTGTAGTAGTGTGGAATCCAGGGCTGGCTGTCCGTACAAGGTTTTGCAGGCTGGACCGCTCCAAAGTTAAAGGAACGCGGTGCGGCTTCCATGACCCGCAGAACCACGACGGTCCGCCGAAGGGAAAGATGCTTTAGCAGAAAGCAGGAAGTGTCCTTAGCCAAACAAGACCTGCGAGGAGTTTTGCCGAATGGCAGGTTGCTGAAGCCCAGAAGGGTGTACCTCACCACAGGGCGATGTGGAGAAATTTGCAGCGACCCTATTTGCACAAGTTGGGTTGTGGGTGTGGGCACTTCATCCCACCCCCCCGACACCTTCGGAAGGGAGGACGTCCTGCCGAACACCCGGTTTGTGGTCTACCCTGTGACGTGACACTTCACCCTTTCCTGGCTCACTGCATGGTCGAAGTGTCGAGTTTTGAAACTTGCTGCTTCATGGACTGGAGACTGCCACCAAAAAACAGTGCCCAGAGGCTTTTCTCAGGAGTGTTCTCCAGGGGCAGTTCCTCCACCAAGAAGCCACTTCCGATTTCCGGTGTCGTTGGAAGCAACCCGCCCACCGGACCTCATGTGTGGGTCGCGTGTTTGCACTTCCATCGGGAGATACTGTAGCCGTAGCCGCCCGTCTAACTTGAAGTTAACCCTGAGGCAACTGACAATAACTGACACAAGTGGAAGACGCTAGCCGCTAGACGCTAACGCGAAGACAACCGAGAAGATGCTGCTCGTTTTCGCTTACGGCAGTCTTATCAGCAGTTGTGCGTTTTAGTAGTGAGACTGTTAGACTTGTTCTACCGTGATCTCGGACAACCCAGCAACGACTTGCCAATCAAACTGTGCTGCAAAATCTCGAGCCACTCTTGGCGAGGCTAGATCAGGCGAAATACAGTTCTGCGATTTGAACATGTGGAGACCTGGAGACAAATCTGATTCAGAGCATTCTCCAACCAAGATGTTTCGGTAGTATTTCTGCCGACTACACGCGAGTAGCCATTTGTGCAGTGCCTATACTAAGTGGCCAAATCGCAGCCCTTCTCAACACAAAGCCATCACAGCCCGTGTGAACTTTGCGCCCCCAATGTTTGCCAGCATATCCTGTTACACCTCCCGCGTCAACATCACGCCTTGGAACTTCCGGTCACAACCCTCCACGAAAACTGTAGGTCTCCAGAGCTTGCAGAACCCAGTGCCGAAATTGCGTTGAGACACGGATCGAGGCATCTACTCAGCGCTCGTGCCATGGTGGTATCCTGAAAGCGGATACGTGACTTGCCTTGGAGAAGCGGAGCTCCGATTTCTAAAGTCTTTATGGCTGTAACCAGGTCACCTGACTATTGCAAGCTTCCACTTTGTACGCACATCTGAAGCTGCATCAGAAGAACCAGACCGCTGCTGATTTTCGTCGGTGTACATCAGTGTCCGTAGATGCCGTAGATCACGTCGGCCATGCTCCATCGGGAGGTATCGTCACATCAGTGGGTTGGCCTGCCTCTCGACTATATTGGGGCCATGGCCAAAAACTATGAGAATCAATCAGTGGAATCCATGTGTCTGTATGCCCTGCTGAGTTAGATGCACGAGCGCACACAACCTCGATGTCTTGGTTTCGCTGTTCCTCTGACTGAGGCTTCTCACGCTGGCAATGGCTGGCATAAGTGGATCCTTGTGCGGGTGTATCTTGAAGGCCTGACGATGAAGTCCTTACTTGTATCGATGAGGTCATCTCATAGTCACATGCCTGGACCCTTTCACACCACGGCTCGGGCAGCGAGCCTCTTACGAGAACGCTGGAGTTTAGCGGATCCAAGATGCTGCGAAGAGTCAAACGCTTGGGCATTTATATTGGGGCTTGTCCATTTCGGAACTGCGCCTGGCTACACAAGTCCCTTGACGAGCGTTGCCTCAGCCAGCATCTTTGGCGATATGCCAAAGAGCAGCACGAAGCAACACGGGATTTGCTGCTACGGTCAGCCGTGCCGAGAGAAGGTCTGGTCAGGTCTTGAAGCTTCCGGTGCAGACGGTAAAACGTCGCGTGTACAGAGGTGTAGCTTGGCATCATTTGATGTGGATGTCCAGCAATGCTGAGAGATATGTATTAAAGCTGACCCTTCTATCAAGCCATAGTTACGGTCCTGCTAAATTGGAGCCGAAATTGTTATCTAATCCATGTGGCGGATGAGAATGTGTTTTGCGTAGGGCTGCTTGGGGAAGTACTCTGCTTAGCAAACTTCGCAAGCGCAGATATGGACATGTAGAAGACCATCGCTACATCTTAGAAGCTCTCTCAAATCCGTTCTCGCCGCGACAGGCTGTGGAACGCTTAGAAGGCAACGAAGCGACGCGGCTTGTAAAATCTGCCGGGCAGTTGTTAGCTTAGCCTTGTCATTGAGCTCAAGCTCTTTTTGGCTCAGGCACTGAAGCGAGCGGCGGAGGCGCAGAGAAGTTTATTTAAGTGCGGTTTGCATATTGCTGAGTCGCACGGGCACTTCGGGTATATTGTTCAACAATTTAACGAAGTTTCCTTGCCACATTAGGGGAACATCACCGTTATATTCTTGTGATCCCGCTTTGAAAAACTATGACTACAGACCCAATTTCATAGTGTCTCTGTCTAAGTCTAAACCTGATTAAGTAGTAGTAGTAGTAGTAGTAGTAGTAGTAGTAGTAGTAGTAGTAGTAGTAGTAGTAGTAGTAGTAGTAGTAGTAGTAGTAGTAGTAGTAGTAGTAGTCGTAGTCGTAGTCGTAGTCGTAGTCGTAGTAGTAGTAGTAGAAGTAGCAATAGTAGTAGTAGTCGTAGTCGTAGCAGTAGTACGAGTACTAGTACCAGTACCAGTACTAGTAGTGGTACTGGTAGTCGTAGTAGTAGTAGTAGTAGTAGTAGTAGTAGTAGTAGTAGTAGTAGTAGGAATAGTAGTCGTGGTAGTAGTAGTAGTAGTAGTAGTAGTAGTAGTAGTAGTAGTAGTAGTAGTAGTAGTAGTAGTAGTAGTAGTAGATAGTAGATAGTAGATCGTAGATCGTAGATAGTAGTGTGCTAGTAGTGCTAGTATTAGTAGTAGTAGTAGTAGTAGTAGGAGTAGGAGTAGGAGTAGGAGTAGTAGGAGTAGTAGGAGTAGTAGTAGTAGTAGTAGTAGTAGTAGTAGTAGTAGTAGGAGTAGTACGACGACTACTACTACTGCTGCCGCCACTACCACTACCACGACCGCTACCACTACGAATACGACGACGATGACCACTACTACTACTAGTACTGCTACTACTACTACTACAGCTACTACTACTACTACTACTACTACTACTACTACTGCTACTACTACTACTACTACTACTACTACTACTACTACTACTACTACTACTACTACTACTACTACTACTTAGGCTACGGCTACGGCTACTACGACGACGACTACTACTGCTGCTGCTGCTACTACTACTACTACTACTACTGCGAACTTGATGCACTTAATTTTAACGCTACGCCGCCCGCCTCGGCTCTGTAGTGGCAGGGGTTAAGGCCTTCCAGCCATGCCGCACGGAGCAAGAAAAAACAACACAGAAAGAGCCTGAAAAGAAAGACAGGCAGTGGATTGACGACGCAAAAGCCAAAGCGGGGGCGAGGAAGACGAAACGAGGGCGGGGAGAAGAAGTGGGAGCAGGAAAGAGGGAAGAAAAAGGGGGGGAGGGGGGGGAGGGGGGGGGGGGCGGGGAGGGGGGAGGGGGGGGGGGGAGGGGGGGGGAGGGGGGGGGGGGGGGGAGGGGGGGGGGGGGGAGGGGGGGGGGAGGGGGGGGTGCAGGGAGGAGGATTAGGTGGAGGGTACCTGAGGTAACCACCAAAACGCCTGTGGCCTCGGCGGATTTGCTATGTCCCCCTTAGTTTCCGTGTTCGCGTCGGTTGCTGCATTAATTTCCGTGTTCGTATCGGTATTTCCCGATTCGTTTCGGCTGCAAACTACGTGTCCAAAAGCAAAAATGGTGGTTTGTGGCCGGCCTCAGAGACTGAGACCCAACTGTACTGTTGTCGGGAGCAATGGTGGAACAGAAAATTCCTTCGTATCATTTAAAAGAGCAGCAAATCCATGTGGCATGCTCTTCAGTTGGTAGTAGCAGTCGGCTTGTAAGGAGTTGGACCTTCCAGCTTCCGAGCTGGTGCTCGAGCAGTTCAGTCTCTCGGTCAAGTTTGGTAGCAGACTTTCGGGACTCAGAGCACAGGGCCTTAAACAAATTGCTGCAATTAAGTGGCTTTGCGCGAGCTCAGCCCGAGCCCCAAGCCAGTTAATGAGGTGATGACTTGTACTGGTCTTGTGCCGAAGACGTTCCACGCAGCCTGCCGCTGATCCAGTGTCTTGCATGCTACCAGAAGCCAAGTGGTCCAGCCTGCACTGCAACCGGCATTTTGAGGTCGGTTAAGTAGCAGAATTCGCCGCTGTGCCGTGCAGGCTTTGAGCCTCCGCGAACATCTTCGCAGCTCTTTGAGATGCCCGAGCAGTCATCAGAGGCAGCTCTGCTCACAGAGCAAAAAGCTCGCTTGGAGCAGTTTCTGCGACGTAGATGTAGGACCAATGTAGGATGGAAATTACCACCAATGGCAATGTCCTTGGTGAAGCTGCGAAACTCGGACCCCTCATGACTCATCATCTGAAAAGCGCTGCTTTGCAGTTCTGAGTGGGGGACGCCGAATGCGGCTTCTATAATTGAAGTCGGCTCTAACGGTGCATTGTGAACATACCGCACGGCTTTGTGACTCGCTGCCCAGTGACGCCATCCCGGCGTCTTTGCACTTGTGCGCAGCATCTATCTCAGCTCCGCTCAGTTCTGACTAGCCGTCGCTTCTCCTTTGCGAACCCACGTTGTCTGGCTTTCTGAGCCAGAGCCACTGCTGCCACCAGATGTCACACCATTCATAGTAGCAGGAGTGAACAAGTTCTTGTGGCTGCTTCGGTGCACCATTGGAGCGTGAATCCTTGCTTGCCACCCGCTTGCTGAAACAACCACGCCAAGGGCAGTTGAAAGTCTGCAAGAAGATTGTTGGAAAAGATTCTTCAATTCTTCAATTCGAAGTATCCGCATCCCAACCCCTGTGCTGCCACAGTTGCCTTTGCAGGACGCTTGTGCCCTTTGCGGTTTCGGCGGCACGCCTTGGAGCAAGAGTCAACGTGGCAAGGAAATGCGGCAAGAGAGTTGCGATCCCGGCAGCCCAACGCAGGCGCACACTGCTTGGGCTGAGCGCTTCTGCCGCGAGGCACGAAGAGATGGACGAGAAAGTCTGTCACATGTCACGATTGCTATTCTGCCGGGAAACCTAGAACCGAACGAAACACAATCTCGCCTGAGGTGGGTGTTCCGTTCACAAGTTGGTCCAACTCAAAGGCCCGGCATTTTGACCTAAGGGTCCATGTCAAAGTGAGACAAGGCAGTCAGGGTATTTTATGGACCTTGCTCTACCTTACCGTCCATGTTTGCGTTGTGCATCAGGTCTTAGGGCAATGGCAGCGGGTTTGGTTTAAGGATTGCAGCAGTGCTGTCTGACTTCTGTGGTCCCAGTATCTTGTTCTTCCATGCTGCCGGTTGTTTGCCACCTTCCCAAACTTAACTGCGCCGCTGCTCTCCCTTTTGTGCTCCGGAACCCCAAACCTGCTATCAGATCCGACTCAGATTCGGAAAGATGCTTTCCTGATCCTTCGTGCGTCGATGCCCATTTCTACACTACACGAAGCAGCAAGACGAGTCCCGTCGTGCGCCACAGATACCTGGGCGGCAACTCAGAATCGGGCGTGCTGCTCAGCCTCTGATTTCAGCGTGCATTTTGAGAGTCGGTAGAGTCGGTAGCAGAAAGTCCTTCCGTTCAGTGCTGGAGGGCAAGCTTCATCTCGCGGGGAGTCATTGAATCCTGAAGCAATGTTTGTGGTTTACTTCCCCGCATTCTCCGCAGGTACATCTCTCCAGACTTTTTCCATCATTCTGCCAGAGCCTTTGACCCTACCTAGTTCGGGCTGCCTGCCCTGCCTGCCGATGCAATCGAGGTGTCCTTCTTCTGTCACGCTTTGCTTGAGCACCGCAATGCCGCCTGGAGCTCAACCGGAGTCTTAAAAGTGCTGAAATGGCGGTGTATGCAACGGCATGAAATCTCCCTTAAACAGCCAAGTGACCAGGCACTTCGAGGGCAGCACGGGGAGCCAAGGAGCAGTTTGACGTCTTCATCTACAACAACGCATCGCGCGAGGATGACAAGACAGAGCTCTTCAAGTCTTTAGTGCTCGGCCCTCGGTCTGAGAAAGCCACCCACGTGCCTCTGGAACTAGCATGGTACACTGTACTAAGCGCAGATAGGATTTTGCAGGAATGCTGCGGCATCTCTGCGTGGCTTCTCGCTAAGATTGTATGCAACGCCTCAATCCCGAACTCTTCAAGCTCGGTGTGGTTAAGATGTTCGGAAGACGGACTTGTTGGAGCGGGAGCGGGGGGGAGAAGTCTTCTTGTGACATGCGCCTAGACACAGAGAAGCATGTACAGTACAAGTCAGTTCAGAGTAAATACGGGCGGGTGTCATTAACTATAAGCCGATCAACGATCAACGAGCCAAAGGACTATAGAAATATTCAAAAGCCGTCCACGGAAAAGCAGCAACGCAGATCCTCCGGAACAGGTCTCAGCGCCAGCCATGGCCGTCAGGGATTCGAGACCCAGTGCCAAACCGACAAATTTCCGAAAGTTCCCGGAGATGCCAGGGACCTGTGTCCTGAATAGCAGCAACGACGAGTGCGAGGGAGCCACCTCGGCCCGGCTGCTACTGCCGATGCTCGAGGTGTACGAGGGACGCCCGCAACTGGGAGAATGCAACCGCGTCCACCAGCACCTGCTCCAGCTCCAATGTATGATCACTCGCGGCCCTGTGCAGGTCCAGAATCTGACAAAGTCTATCTGCCAGATGCGCGCAGTCACTCCTGCTGACTGAGGCCTGCCAACCAGTGGAAGAAGGTCACTGGCATGGCTGCCCACGAGGCAGGGAGTTTCCACGAGCCACTGAGCCACAACTTCCTCAAGGGCCCAACTCCTCTGTCGGTTGGTCACAACATGCCACAACCATGTCCAGTGGCCTTGCAGGAGTATCAGTCATGCAGCAAGACATGTAGCTGTCTGCAGGTTTGGGGTTGTGCAGCCTGCACGTTCTTATGCAACCCACGAAAAACTCGGCCGACAGCGCGCCCGAAACCAGCAGCCTCAGCAGGGACCCTGTTCCGTGTGGACTGGCCTGGAGGAAGGGAAAAATAGCCATGCATACCTTGGGCAAATCCCCAAAATGCGCTCTGAGGCGATTTTGCTATTCTCCATTCGGATAGGACATGTCGACATGCCAGGCGGTAGTCTTACGTGAAGAAACGATCGCCAGCAAAGAAGACCGGCATGGATCGCCCCTGGAGTCTGCACGGCAAAATTAGTCGGTGAAAGTGGACTCGGGGCGGAGGTGATTTCCACAACAATGGCAGGAAAGGTCTGCCAGGTTCGTGATCGGCACCCTGTCTCCACACGTATGCCCGCAGCTTGTCGTGTGGTCACCAGAATTTGGAGAAGCAGGGCTCGTCGAGACGACTGGAGTGGTGCAAAGCGCAGATGGCAGCTGCTGCCGTTGCACCATCAGTATCCATCAGTCATACTCTCTGGGAGATGATGTGGAAGAATCTTGCTAGTGCTTTGACTTCAGAGAACCGCACCCTCGAGCGCAGCCGTTTGCCCAAGACATTCTGACGCCGTACTTCAGGCTCAATAAATCCACGGCACGCCGAAAGCACCGTATGCTCAGAAGAAATGAGTTTGCTGATGTGCAGGTGGCTGAGATGATCCGGCAAGACCAAATTGACATTCTAATCGAGTTGGCAGGCCAGAGACATTTGTCACCCGTGTCCCGGCAGTGTTAAGGATCCTGGTTACTTCTCGCCAGGACACACAGCCAACAACCGCTTAGATGTGATTGCACTGAACCTTGGCGGAGAGATGAACAGGGAAAGGGCTGACTGACAAATTCGACCTGATGTTTAATGTAATGCTTCCGGATTTACCTGGTAGCCGGGTGTTAGGAAATGGCAAAACGGCAGAACCGACTCAGCAGCTTGCGGAAGGCTTTATGACATGTAGGGTCTGCAGTGTTTGATCGCCGGTGTGATGTTTGAGCCATGCACGAATCAATTTCCAAAATTCCTTTGGACTCGGGTGGATGCAACACGCAGCAACTGTGTGAGGAAGCCTGCACCCGTCCAGCGCAGGGCTCGGATGAAAGATCGAAGCGTTGTCAACATGTGTCAACAGCCGGAGAAGCCCAACTCCGACTTTCCAGGATCACTTACATCGGCTACAACAACACCACGGGGCCTGGGCCCGAAAGCAGTCCAGAAGCTTAGGACCTTGCAGCCTGGGACTGCGGATGACTCGGATGACTGCTGAGGTTAGGCACAATTGACTACCGGCTGGTGGATGACATTGTCGATCCGCGGGCATCTCAGAGAGCCGAGCATTGGCACGGCTTCTGTTTGTGCGAGCACGTTGAGGCTGGACACTCAACAGCCCTTCAGCGAGGAACTGGTACGCATACCTGGGCTCTGTCCTCAGGTCCTTGGACTGGATTCGCGGTGTCATGTGCAGGATGTGCATTGGCGACTTGCAAGCTTCATGTGCGGAACGGTTGGTTCTGCTGCCTCACAGATCAAGCTAGGACGCAGCAGCATGAGGATTGTCGTCATGGCTGCGTTCTGGTGAATAATATCCATTTTTTTTGCACCGTGCATTCGGGGCTTTGTCAATCGCACGAAAATCAGTTCCTTCGATTCGAAACTGGAATAATCTGTCCTGAATGGCTGTCACAGATGCCTCTGCCGCCGGTGTGATCTTCAAAAGCGATGGGATACACGGAGATTTCAGAAAAATCGGGACGGTCTGGGGTGCATACTTTCTGGCAAGTGCGCAATGTACTTTTTGCAAGTTTACGGCCATCCGCAGAGTTTTCAAACTCCGTCAGCTCTTCTTTTCCCGCTAGAACATCTGGAAACATGTTACCTGGTATTTGCTTCGTTTGCGTGCTAGTTCTGCTCGCTGAGATTATGGCGAGTGCATTCCATTCGTGCTGCTGTTTCGTTGAGCTTGATGCCATTTGCTTTCTGTCTTGATTGTCTTCCCCATGTCCGTTTGAGGGTGCTGAGACGAAGCACCAGTCTTCGGCGGAACTCATGACATGTTGGCCAATGCTGCATCGTGGTAGAATGCTGACTCGCCGGCTGCAAGATGCCGCACCTGGTGTGAAGACTTGCGTTCTATATTCTTGTTCTTCTTCTCTTCTTCGGCGTCGGCGAACATGCTACGGTAGAACAAGTTCTCATCCTCTTATAGTAAGGCTCCCATCCTTCATCCAGGAATGGCATGCAATACGGTCTTAGCCAATGTTCTAGAACTTGTTTGCGCAGTTGCAGACTGGCTATGGAGTAACCCAGCTGGTTCTTGCAAGACTGTAGCTGATATCCATGGCACGTTTGCAGAACTGACCAAAATCTGATACATAAACACTCGGGGAGAGCAGAAACAGGCTGGATGTGGATGGAGCCTGCACAAGTTGCATGTGTTACAAGTGCATGACCATGAGGCAGATCCTGCATCTCAGGTGCTTCCTCTGCTACACCCCTCCGGCCCGTGTGCCGGATGTAGAGCTGCGGCCTTACTTGGGAGCGGTTCCAATGCAATCTGCATCACGGACAAGAAACCGAACGCCCCGCGAGCCGTGCAGAAGGTGCCTCTAGCCCGTCGGGTCTCGACAAAGACAGAGAAACACTACATTGGGTCGCAAAGCAAGTCGCAGCTTCTGGCCAGTTTGTAACTCGGAATGTCCAAGCAGACGGCTTGCCAGGATCAACTGGTGGCCGGAACTACATTGAGTGTCTCATCTTAGTGCCAGCACATGCCAGCACCAAAGCGAACATATCATGACCAGGCACAGAATATCCAAGCAGTGCTGCTGCATCATCATCATCATCACCATCGCCAAGCAGCCATAACACAAGAATGACCTTGAAGGATCTGAGAGAGTAAAGAACCCCGGATATGGCTTTGAGAAGAGTTCACCCCCTTCCGAGCTTGTTCAACGTCGGCAGAAAGTCCAGGGGCTTTGTTCTGGGACCGTGGTCTTCACTGGCTTCAACAGACAGGGCTTCGACGTGAGTGGCTCATTGGTCCGTTGCCAGGTCCCTGCCGGCTCTGCGAAACGGCTACATCACTTTCGGAAGCCTGCTGACCCAGCTTTGGGTGTGTCTCATGTAGTGGCGAAATACTGCAACTGCATGCAACGGTGGTCGGTTTCGTTCAATGTTTCGCCTGTATCTTCAGGCTTCAGCTGCCTTGCTAAAGTGGGCGAGCCCGTCGTCGCACTGTGGGCTCGTTGCTTGCACGAGGCTGCCCTCACGTTTGATTTTGTGTTGGCCACGAAATGTTCCTGGTCCTGGTTCCCATCGACTGGTAGTGCGTGTCAAACTCAAAGATCTTTAGTAGTGATGCAGGTTCCAAACAGCAAGCTGCTGGTGAAGAACAAGGGTTTCTATTCTCAAGACGTTCAGGCCAGCAGACAGGGAGTTGCAAATAGCAGGGCAGTGGGCAGAGCTGACTTGGATGCCTCAACTTGGAGTCCATCAAATGCAAGTTGGCTGGTTGCCTCTGTGAGGCTTCTTTATTGCTTGCAACTTTCAGGCCACTTTCATCAACAAGTTCAAAGCTTACGGCATCCAGGAGCACAGGCCCGGCCGCCTCTGACATGGACATTTCGAAGCTGCGCCGCTGCGTCTCACGCTAGGCTGAAGCTTTTGTCGCTTGCCCCCACATCCTACGAACACCTCAACATCTACAACGAGGCAGGTGCAACCGGCGCCTGGCGGCTGCGAACGCAGCCTTTCGAAGCCAGTAAAGTTTGGAGTCTGAATTCGTTGGGCACAGCGCAGGTGGACCTAGCCTTAGACACCTTCCCGTACTCCAACACCACCACAACCTGCGAGTCCCTCTTCATGGGCGCGAGCCTGAGCGGAGGGCGGAGGGACGCGGCCAAAAGGCTATCGCCTGGGCCTGGGCTTTTGGGAGCGCCCGCTTCGAGGCGTCCCAGCGGTGTGCCTGGTTGGAAGCACCCACGGCGCAAGGGCTCGGATCTTGGAGCTTTGGACTGCTGTGATGACCTGTCACGGTCGTGTGCGGAAATGCCGCATATGCCTGGCAGCTGGTCCAAAGTCAGATGTTCAATATGTGGACGACTGCTGTGCGTACGTATGATGGTTTTGCTTCCCTGAGGTACCGCAGCTGGCTCCTTTGTTACGCAGACAGTTGCTGTACCTTCTGGAATGAAGCCATGGTGCCACAAACTAGCTGGGAGTGGTAGGACCAGTAGCTAGGAGGTACATCAGTAGATGACTTTGACGTGGCAATGCCTGTCCCCTGGCCAGTGAAGCGAGATCGCATATGCATTCAAAACATCGCCGAACGTGCGCTGACCATCAAGCAGCTCTGTGATTTGCGGGCCTTTCTGCAGCGGCTTTGCAAAGCCAAGCTTCTGAAACGCACCTGCGATGACAAATGCAGGTCTGGTACTTCCGGTCGTGCCGAGGACAAGCAGTTGAGCTGGCACGATCTGAATCTGTACGATGTTACAGATGAGGTCATCAAGCCCATCATTCAGTTCCGCGAAATGAAGGTGGCCACGAATGTCCCAACGACAGGTCATTTTGCAGGCTACTCATGGGCGGAGCTTGTCAGTGAGAAACCGCAACGTCCGCAACTAATGATCAGTCACTGGTGGGGAGGCTCGGTCGCGGGGATGGAGCCCTCTTCCCATACAGTATTTTTTCCCCGCTCTTCCCCACATGTGTATTTCCTTAAATCTGCGTTTCTTCGTCTATGTCCCGGGGAATACCGCTAGTTACATGGAGTTCAAGGTGCTGCGAATACTTCTGCTGCTGTTGCTGCTGCTGCTGCTGCTGCTGCTACTGCGACTGCTACTGTTATTAGTGCGAGTACTCGTACAAGTACCAGTGCCAGTGCCAGTACCTGCACTGTCAGTACCAGTACTGTAGTAGTAGCAGCAGTAGCAGTAGTCGTAGCAGTAGTAGTAGTAGTAGTCGTAGTAGTAGTAGTAGTAGTAGTAGTAGTAGTAGTAGTAGTAGTAGTAGTAGTAGTAGTAGTAGTAGTAGTACTAGTAGTAGTAGTAGTACTCGTAGTAGCAGTAGTAGGACTACTCTACTTTACGTTTACGTCTGCGTCAACTTCTACATCTTCTTCTGCTTCTGCTACTGCTGATGCTATTGCTCCTACTCTTGTTGCTCCTACTCTCGCAGCTGCTGCCAGTGCTACGGCTACGATAACAACTACTATCAGGGTACTAGCGCATGCCAAACAATTCAGCTTTAGGAGGGTGTCCAACTTGGGTCCAACTTCCATTTTGCAACCCGTAGCCTTGAACCCTTGGAAGCCCCAGCAGACTTTAGCAAAGTTTCCTATCAGTACCACGAAACTAAGTGTGCAAAAGCTCTTGCGCTCGGAAGGCCGAGAGGAAGGGGTTTCTTCGCATGGCCTCATGGAGCATTCGGCAAGCCCCACAAATACTGTGGCCCCCGGAGAGGTCGGTTCTCCGATTTCATGAGCGCTATCGACAAGATAATGGACGACCGAGCACTGAGCATATGCACGACCTTTTGGGTTTGCACTTTCGCGAACAACCAATTCGGCGAGAATTTCGGCGCCACGATCATGGACACCCCTTTTGTCAGAGCCGTGGAATTTGCAGAGGCGACCATCCTGATGGTGGATCGCGATGCTGGTTCGCTTCGGAGAAGTTGGTGCTGCCTGGAGCTCCCATTCGGAAAGTGACTTTCCGATGTCCTGAAACTAAGACCTTAGGAGAGAAGACTTACGCTGCTCCGGGCACCGCCTTTTCCAGGAGCTGCACTACACCATCCAACAAGAGAAGGCTCTGGAGCTCTACACTTCTGCCGGTCTTGTGGGGTCCAATGCCGTGTCCTCCGGGCCTCTTGTTGACGCGATCTCCCAATGGGATGTGCGAGACAGCACAGCGTCTGAGGCAGCCTACCGGCGTCAGATCTTCAATTTCATTGCTGGTGTTCCAGAGAAGGCTGGGCTTTTAACCGTCGATCGAAGTCCTTACGGTGAGCTTGTGCTTGTCGACGGGCGACCTCAGCTGGATGGTCAAGATGCCGGTAACAAGAGTGAGGAGCATGCCCTCTTTATCAAACACCACAAGGCCTTCGAAGCTTTGAACATGGATGTTCGGGTTTCAGTGATCGGTCTAATTGGTGCATGCCGGAGGAACCGGGGCTGCGAACTGCCGCAGATTCGTGAACGAGGAATCACCCTTGGACAACTCAGAACTTTTGCGCGCAAGGCCCGGACGTCTCTTGGCAAGTCCTTGCCTGGGACTCCATGGGAAGCAATCACGGTAGAGCAAGTCACTACGACGTTCATCATCAAGGAGACCAGTCGAAAGCACATTTCCCTGCCTCTGTGCGGTTTAAGCATGTCCAGAATGAAAAGGGGATCATATCCAATCAGATGCAGTGCTAAGCTGTGACCGGTTTCTGATGAGCCATCTGCCCAGGAGACATCCAAACGCAACTGCTCTTACGTGGAACTCGTGGCTGAAGGGCCGCAGGTTCCAGACACCTTCATCGACTACCATGCTTCCATGTATTTAGCAGACGTCATGGCTTCCATTGAATGGTTTGCTGAAGCAACCGGAATGAAAGATTCTGCGGTCTTTTTCTGGTGGCTGCTGGCCAAGAACCCGCAGCAAGTAGAAGCCGACAGGAGGAGCAATCAATTCGAAGGGGGTCACCTTGTTGTAGACAAGTCGCAGCGTGAATGCCGATCTTTGCTGGTGACCTCGGGTGCGATGGTTCACTGCGGCGTTGCTACACAAACCCAGCCGTGGAGAATCACCCGTGCATGGCGGCTTTACCAGCTGGAATGTGCAGCTCGTCTTGGGCAGGCGATCTATTTTGCTTGTCCATCTGGAGTTATGGCATGCACGAAGCTCTTCCCGAATGGCCATTCCAAGTCTGGTACCATACCTCGTGCGATAACGGAGGCAGTTTTCAACGTGGATATTGAGGTTGCTTCTTGCACTGTCGCGTCTGATCGGGAGGCTATTCTGGCTTTCATCCGAGGAAGTAATGGAAGAGGGGTGGAGCGATTGCGAAGGCGGCTTCAGCGCTGGGCAGCATTTCATTTGGTCTCAGTGCTGGCGGCTTCCGGTGACCAAGAACTGGCGAAGCTTGAAGAAATCTGTTCGGTCCCCGGGTTCAGCATAAATGCAGAGCTAGCCAAAGGCACGCTGGGTGAGTCAACGCTGCACGAAGCCGTTGCAGCAAATTCCTATGCCACTGTGGAGCGGCTGCTCTCGCATGGCTTTCCACCAGATCCCCTGGACGCCATGCACGAAACTCCACTGCACTATGCAGCCCTTGCAGGCAACCTCCACCTGGTCAAAACACTTCTGGACGGCCGGGCGGACCCTGTGATGGAGTCGGTATTTGGAGAGACGCCCCTGGATGTGGCTATCGAAGAACCCGCTTCTTTTTTGGGCCAGGACTCCCGAGCCGTGATAAAGATCCTCACGCAGAGCTGCGAGAGGCGATGCTCAGAGCATCGCCGGCAGGTTTTGAGGAGCTCCAGCACCGTGTCCGCTGCGGGTCCAAGGAGCGGCTTCGACTCTCAGTGAAGGCCCAGAGAGTTGTCAAAGAGCTCATCGACTTCTCGGCCCCCTTGAAAGGCAGTCTTGCAGTGCTGGCCCTAGCCCAAGAGACGGCGGCTGAGCCGGGTGCCTTTGCTCATTCTCCTCCCCCCGTCGCGGGACCACTTCCAGGCTTGGCGGCGCTGTAGCTCTGGCGCCCAACAGCTGGAGCTGCTGCCAAGCATCGCCGGGCCAAAACGTATCCTGCCCGTTGCTGGCATTCCACTCTGAAGACGCTACAGAGGAAGCTCCCTGCATGTGCCGCCCAACAACGAGCCTGCGATGGCATGGGGTACGAGTCCGCTTCTGCCCTACATCCCGCTTCGCAGACAGCGCTGCTTCTTTAGCTCCTGCTTTGGAAATGATGACCGCAGCTTCTACGTTGCAGGGTCTTGCAGATAATCGAGTTGAACTGAGGAATGTGTCTATCGCGAAGTGTTGCAAACTTGTCTAGATCCGCCCAGTCGCATTAATGCACGACTGCGTGGCAAAGATTCTGGCTTTCACAGTATCTCACATTGCACGAGCTGTAGCGTACTCAGCAGTATAGCATCTGCTTTACTATCGAAATCTGTCGGTCCACTTGCTTTCACTAGTTTGTCTCGATGCTGCTTGTACTCCTCGAACTGCTAGGTCTGCCACACCTTGCTCACCGCGGTTGGCTTGGGCGAGTTCTCCGCTAGCACTCAGGCACACTGGGAGGTCATGCCTATCAAGGGACAGGGGGACGACACGGCATTCACAGCGTGCATGTTGCTCTTGTGAGGCACTGCCGCACAAGAGTCGTTAGACTATTAGACTGCGAGAGTCACATGCTGCCTACCATCCTGCCGAGGAGGAATACGTCACCAAGGTGCCTGCCTCACAGCCTTCCGACCACCGTGAGTAGCTTGACGAGGGCGGAGAGTGCAGGTGAAGGGCGTGTCCAGCAACCTTCAAACTCTCTCCATGCTGCGGAGGAACTTGCGTCAGGCTCGATATTGCGGCAGTTCTTGCTGTGCTGAGGCGGTTGTTGCTTGCTGCCCATTCCTGAGATAATGCTCACTTCACCGTTATGCGACGGCCCGGGATTTGTTCGTGACAAGTACGAGCCAGGCACTTGGCTGTTTCCAGACTACGGGCGTAAACGGTGGCTCTTGGTTGCCTGAGGCCCATTCTGCGGGAGAAGTGGCTTGCTTACTGCAACGCCCGTGCTCCTTCGCAACAGGCCCGCCAGCGATCGGCCGTATAGAAGCTGCATTCACGAGTCTAAAACAGGGAAGCAGAAGCAGGTGTACTCAAGTTCCGACCTGCCTGATCCCTTGTCGTCCGGGACCTCAGACGCAGCACCGTTCGTACTCCGTAACTCAAGCCCGGGGCCAAGCCTTAGCAGATGCTCCCCGAAGCCTCTGGTGCGGAGCCCGTCTCCGAAGCCCAACTGCAAAAGACTGCTAAGGCCCGGGCCCTTTGCACCGCCTTTGGCGCCAGGCCTGGGCAGCCACCATCCGAGCTGTCCGGCATAAATCGTCTTGTCCACGAAGGGGCAACGTGTCAAGCCAGGCAGATGTGAAGCTGCTAAGCTTAAGTGCCACGTTGACCGCCCATGGGGGGGCCCTTGCCTTGCCGAGACACCCTACGTCCCTACGTGGGTGTTTACGTAGGAAGTCCTGGGTTCGTGGGAGAGAGCCATCTTACATATGGGCATGCAAGCCGGCCAGGCCAGCCATTCGTCCAGGGTCCCTCGCAATTGCTGCCTGGACTGCAATGAAGACCCTGGCTGCATCAAGTTCCGCAGTCTTCATTGTTTCAGCCGCGGCTCGCAACGGTTGTTCTCGTGTTCTGGTGGTGCTGACTCTAGCGCTGGTGTTGCTGGGGTCCTGTCAAGGCGGCGGTGCTTCCGGTGTCTGTGGTCTTCGGGGGCGTTGGTCGCTGCATTGTTGCCATCACCGCTATTGTTCCAGATGCCTTTGGCTTTGCGGCGGTGGTGTTTGTGGTTGTCGTTGCCACTGTGCTTTTGTGGGCCTTCTTTTTCGATACATACACTTCTGGTATCACTACCTCTAATTGTTGAGTCTTGCCGCCATCGGCCGTCCTCTCGGCATTGATATAGCCTTTCAGCCACACCTTTGTCGTCCGAGAGCAGCCGCAACCCAAAAAAACACACTTTGGCAGCCTTGACCCGGACTGGCTCCCGCTTCGTCCAGTCGAAATCCTTCTTGGCAAGATGGTGATTCCCGGCCATTTCGGAGGAGGAAGGTTCTGCATACTGTTCGGAAAACTTCTGACCTCTTGTCGCAATGCTGATAAGGTGACCAGGCTATTGTCCTGTCACAGCGAGTTACTGATGGTGATTCTCATTGATGCGAGTGTTGATCATCATTCCGGCCACATTATGGCTAGTCACTGCCAGTCATGATGAGGAATGCTACTGAGCCCACCTTGCGGTTGGTGGGTGTTGGCCTGTCGAATGCAGCATCGCTCTGCAATGCGTCCAGTCACGAGGCTTCGCCAGATCATCATAACGGTACTCGTATCGACATTCACTCGCACACACCGGGGTTTTCTGCGTTGTTTCGTTTACTTCTCGTGAATATTTTCGAAGTTATGCTTGACCGCCAGTTGAACTCGGCGTTGTTGTTGGTTTGTCGTTCGTGCTGACAAGGGATCAGCAAAAGTTGCAAATAGCGTGGTTTTCGACCATGTGTGCTGTGGCCGTGCTGCGCATGCAGTCTGTGGCAACCGGAAAAAGAAAGGAGGTCACGTCTTTCTATTGCAGAATTATCAAAAGTCTAAGTCGCAAACAAGACAAAGATAGAATTTGGCGGAAAACCCGAAAAGACTCATGGCAAATACCGATGCAAAGGATAAATTTTCCTTCTTCCAACGCATTATCGAGAAATATCGAGAACGGGGCGCTTCTCCGGCCTCACATCGACACTCTGTGGCGGCATTTCAACAGCAGTACAACAAGGACGCCAGCAACAGCAGAGCTGCAACAGCAACAAAAACAGCGACAGCAACAACATTGGCAACAGCAGCAACAGCAACAGCAGGAGCAGAAGCAGCAGCGTCAGTAACAGCAACAGCAACACTGACACCAACAACAACGACAACGACAAACACAACGACATTGACGGCAGCAGCTCTACCAGCGCCAACACCAACAGTGGCAAAAACATCAACAGCAACACCACGGAACCAACAACAGTACCCGCAACGAAGACGAACACAGCACCACAAGCCACCATAGCAAATGCATCGGTCTGTAGGCGCAGTTGCAGTTAGCTTTTCTGCAACGATGACGATGACGGCGGTTTCAGCCGCGGATGAGAACAAATGTCTTCATTCCCGTTCTCGGTGGACACCATCTTGATGGTCGTCGCCGCCTGATTTCTATGATGCGCTGCGGCGTCAAATTATCGTGGTTTGACACCGGTGTTTTCGAGTCGCAGCTGACTCTCCTGCGCAGCGCATATTTCGAAACGTCTGAAGCACATTCATCATTGTGAGCTGCGTCTGCTGCTAACATGACATTTTGCTTGTCTTCCTTGTGTTATGCTTACGGTTGCATCTTCACTGTACCATCCGCGACACCTGTCAGTTTCTTGGCTTCTTCGGGGTGTCCCAGTTGTTTCATCACATTGCATGCATGTGTTGCCTGTGCAGGTCGGCAGAGTCTTTAAGTGTTATTCTTTTGAGCATGTGTGTATCGGTTTCGGGCTTCTGGAGTATACGTTCGCAAAGGGTAGAGTTGTCTGTCTTGCACTGGGCAATAATCGCTTTGACTGTCTCTATTGTCTTCACTTCGTTGATGCGTCGCTTTTGATCACCGTCTCGTTTGGCCCCTTCCCTCCGAAGCCTCTCTGCTGTGCAAGCACAGGTTCACTGGATTGGTGGGTCTGTCGTTTCCCCCACGATTGCCACTGTCATCACCTGCAACATCGTTCTTCTGGCTGTCATGGTTCTTGGATGCTGTAAGCATGGATGCAACGTTTCAATGTTGACGTTGTCTTCGTCCGGTCGTTCGGTCACGGGCGCTCTGGTTGTCTCGCTTTGGTATTAGGACATGCAGCGCTCCGCACTTCTAGGAGGTGCAGCTAGGCTTCTATTGCCATGGTTGGATGACAGCTGCGAACACGTGCTAATCTATCACTCTGCAATTGCACTCGAGGCAGACCAGCCACCAGGTGCAAAGCATTCTTGCTGAATGGTTACACTCGCTGGTGTGTTGATGTCAGAACGTCTCAGCCTGCTTGAATGCCTGCCCTTGACTGAAGTAACCAGGAAGTAAGAACTTCGCAGCAGGTGGCGTCCATCCCCCTCACGCAGAACGGTGTCGTGCTGCCTGTCGGCAAGCCATGAATCCGCCTTTTCTGCAGGCCCAAGCACGAAGGCATGTCACTGCTGTCACAGTGTGACGTTGCTAAACTGCGAATGTGCCGAATGTCGGCAAGGCATGGCAACATTGCGTTGATGTAACCAGGGGTGCTCTGCAGGGAGTTTAGCACTGATCCTGACCTCTTTTCGACGACAAACATCCAGACCGGCCGCTGAGGGTTGGGTCAGGCACAGTCGGGAGCTCAGGCAGGCGAAGAGGAGTGGCTCGAGGCGCAGAGACAAGGAAAGGTCACATCCAGTTTCAACTGCAGGAGAGGGCGGAGCGATAGATAGTCTTAAGAGTTGTATCCCTGGTACATGCTGAGGGGCAGCTTCAGAACCTTGAGTGCGTTGAATCTCCAAGGTTTTTTGTTCAAAACATCAGCAACACCTAGAAAGATCAGAACAACTCTCCAAGAACACCAGAAACGTTGAGAAATCACAACAAAATCTCGGGAAATCAAATCACACAAACACTAGCGATATACAAAGCACAAGCAACTTAGGCAAACGTCACTTCAAGAAACGGAAAAGCAAGTAAGCAGCAAAAACCAGGGAAGTCAAACAAGAACGATCAAACATTTGGAAACAAAACAACTCGTGACACCCACAGAAATTGATACAGTTTAAGA